CAAATACACTTATTTTAAGAAAAGATGACTAATTTAGATTTCGATTTTTTCCAGTGTATAGTGGAGGATTTTCTCAAATTTTTCAAAAGACCCATCCTCTCCACAACCCTGTAGCCCAGCAGTGGGCAATTCCAGTTCCTGAGGGCCGGTATCCTGCAACTTTTAGATGTGACTCTGGTTCAACACACCTGAATCAAGTAATTAGATTATTGAGAGGACTGAAGGAACTGACTGCATACTGAGGAGGCAAGTCAGCCCTTTAATTCAGGTGTGTTGGACCAAGGATGGTTGTAAAAGTTGCAGGATACCGGCCCTCAGGAACTGGAATTGCCCACCCCTGCTGTAGCCGCTCCACAGAGTGAACGCCTATTAAATGTGTGCAAGAGCACGCCTGAGCACATTTGTACTCGTGCACGCTCTGTTTAAAAGTTGCTGTTTGCATCGCTCATGCAAGCTTATTTTCCAAAAGAAGATTTGCAATTTTTCAATGTCAGGCTCACAACTTGTAGGTCAAAATGGAAACGAGCACATAGGATGGCCTTACGTAAACATATCACCAGAATGATTGACAATTAGGAGGACCACTTATTTTGATGATCCATCCAGAAAAACAAAATTCTCCACTATGCCTTTAAGACTCATATGTACCCATACATCCCTTGATTCCTAAATAAATGTTCTTTTTGGAAAGGGGTAAAATTTTTTGTAGCCTTAAACTTCTGCTATAATTTGCAGAATTGGTTGGAGTTGGCTATAGATGGTCTGCAAGTTGGGTTTACCGTTTTGCACATTTGTGAAGTATGACTGAAAAAAAGGTTTTATAAAGGTTCTAAGATGACAAACAGAAGCGTAACCATAGCAAAATAAAAAGTATTGTTATCCAATAAAGCAAAAGAAAACATTTTGTGAATTTTACCGTCTGCTGTGATTAAATAAAATCTTTAAAGAACTAAGAGAACACGATGTGGTAATAATCACAAATTGTTTCTGAAGCTAAGCTGTTTGTCAGAAATAGTGTCTGTCAGTTAAACAGGTCCAAAACCTATCATTGCATTTTATAGCTGTACACTTTTATGGAGTATTTCATGTGTGTTAGAATGTGTTTTAGCTTACTGGTCTGGCTCGTCGCTAAAGTAGTAACGGACAATCCCAAACGGGCCTGCATCTCCATCTGTGGCCTGGAAGGAAAATATTAGAGGAAAAAATCATTAGATCCTGCAAAATATGCCTCCTTAAAAAAAAAAAAAAAAAAA